AGCAAAGGTTTGACAAAGGACTTTTCTATCACTTGGAAAAAAACAAAAGAAATTGAAAAAAAAAAAAAGTCCTACTTCTTCCTTCTATAACCGAACTCCATTACCTGCAGGAAGTAATCCTAAAGGTATACAAAGAAATGAAACTTGGCAGATGGATGTGTTTCACTTTGCAGAATTTGGAATTTTAAAATATGTACACCACACTATTGATAACTATTGAGGATTTCAATGGGCAACTGCCTTGAGTTCTGCAAAGGCTGATTCTGTAATTACACACCTATTAGAAGTTATGGCCATCATGGGAATACCTGTACAAATTAAGACTGACAATGCTCCAGCATATGTCTCTAGTAAAATGAAACAATTTTTTTTGCTTATTACAATATAAAGCATATTACAAGTATACCAAACAACCCCACAGGCTGAGCAGTTACAGAAAGATCTAATCGAACTATAAAGGATATGCTAAATAAACAGAAAGGGGTAATAATGACCCCTAGAAATAGATTATGTAATGCTTTATTAACCTTGAATTTTCTTAATGCTGATGAGAAAGGAACAACAGCTGCAGAGAGACATTAGATAACAGAAAAAAACTCCTGAACTAAACCTGCCAGTTTACTTCAAAGGTATATTGACCTCAGAACAGAAACCAGGATATGTGCAATGTTGGGAAATGGGTTTTGCTTTTATTTCCATGGGAGAAGAAAAGCTGTGGATACCAAAATTAGTAAAAATTCAATTTGAAGAGGAGAAACCTCTTGGTAAGGAGAAGTGACAGCATGACCACCAATGTGACAATTCTCCAAGTGGTAAGGAAAACTCAATGAAAAAGGGTCAGGGCAGGGTTCTGTTTTTTGTCTTAACAGGATAATAGAAATAACCATCTTCAAGAAGTCAAAAGGTCTTGGAAATCTAGATGTATAAAGCAGAAGGGCAGGCTATATAGAAAAAATTTACAAGCATAGAATATTGGACCTATTAGTACCAATATACTCTACAGGGTAATATCTCACTGCCTGAAATCAATATCTCTTTACAACTAGAAGTTGTGGTCCTGACTCAATTATAAATCAAGCTGGCTTTAGAGTTGGAATGTGGCTCTCTCTTTCTCTAAACCAAAACATGTTGCTAAAAGAAAAAATTAAGAGATTCTGTCTCATATTAGAAGAGCCAACTGGTGTGGGACAGAAGAAAGCCAATAATCTAGGGAACTATTGTTGTCAAGATTCCATTTCTCTCCATACTTATTCTTGATTCCTTCCATATCATGCCATCTTAAAATTTACACTTTCTTTTTTGATATTAATAATGTTTAAGTTTTCCACAGTGAAAAATTAATCTTTCCAACAGTGATCTCCAAAGTCTCCAGCAGGAAGATAGGGCCCCACATCAATGACTCTACCTGGTCCATAATGATGCCATTGAGCTAATAAACACCACTCAATGATTGGCTTTGGACGACAAACTCTTCAGGACAGTTCCCAGATGAACTGGTCCATCATATTACACTTCTAGCCAGAACTTCAGATAAATCTTACCCATTACTCTGAGACTGACTACAAATGTTACAGCTAGTCCTTATGAGACCTAACCATTGTTTTAGCTTTCTTAAAGGATCCCACAGAGATACTATAGCCCCCTAGACAGCAGGAAGCAATTTTAAGAAAATGATTCACTTTCTCTCAAAAGGTTTTGTTTTCTCAGGTTCATGGATAATTGTCATCTGTTAGGGGTTGGCTATAAGTTGTAATAGGGTTGGGGGTGGAATAATAAAGTTTAAACTTGGGATTATCTTTTAGAAAAGAAGAAAGGGGAATAGATAGACTAGGATAATAAGGAAGATTATTGTATCTACTTGTACACTAAATCAGTAACTACCAGCCTTAGATAATTTGCATTGGTATGGATTCTTGTATACTGATACAAATGTAAAATAATTTTTCTATTCCTTCTTAAGATA